TTTTCTGGAACGGCAAATGAATACTGGTCCAAACTAAAGGAATGTCTCTGAAAGATAGCCACTTCTACGTCAGGGCATACTAGTAGAAAGTGCACTAGTTGGGTATCGACCAAAGCATGAATGTCAGAAGATCTTGACTACCGAATACTTCGAAGAGACGGCAGCAGCACGGCGTGACAAAAATCATTATTGGAGCGACATGGCCTTGAGAATAGGAGCGGCCAAGCGAAGGGCGAAATTATAACCAGGAAAAAGATAGCTAGAAATGCATTTTTCCTGTTGACAAATCTTTATGGAGTAAACCATCTTGAGATCATCATAAAAACGAGATTCCGTGTCTATATGACTGTCATTCACTTGGTCTTGCTATATGGCTGCGGCGAGACATGGCTGATCAGAATGGAGGATATTAAGAAGTTATTCGCCTTTGACCATTCATATCTAAGATACATTTTGCGGAATAAAATCTCGTATTTCGCCGAGTGTACAAAATTGCTGAATGAATAATTCGTGCATCATAGTTGGCTCTTTTCAAGAAAAGGTTCAATAATACCATCTGCGAAGTTCGAAATTTCCATCTTTTATCATTCATTTGCGTGCCAAAAATTCGACTGTTATTCCGTAACTCTTCCATTACCTTTTTACATTACTAGCTTTTTCACATTTTTTTTGTTTTTTACATCGCTAATTTCTTTTCATTTGACATTTTATTTGTTTTTATTAATGCAAGCGCATGGCATTTGTCGCCACGCTTGGCTGTTTCAAAGAAATGAGTTTCATGGGCAAATACGAATTATATGAACGAAAGACAGTTCTCATATTTTGCACAGAACTTCTCAATTTGCAGAAATATTAGAGAACAAAATTGGGAGCATTCGCTACACTGAGAGCGCTAGTGTTCAGGTCGAAGCATCTGCTGTTCATTTGAACAAATAATAACTGAGGAAAACAAATTTTTCTGGACTACTGCAGAACTGTTACCCAATTTGTGAATTTTTCCCACAAATTCGTAGATAAACTAGTTTTTTTAAAAAAATTCAAGGCTGGTGAAATGGTCGAGTAGTAAGCTGTTTCGATTGCGCGGTAGAATCCGTAAATGACTCTAAGCCGAATATCTTTCTGCTTCGTAATCAATAGAGGGGGAATGGTAAACGCCACTGCAAAAAGGGATGTTTGTCAAAGTTGGTAATGCATTGTATTATCAGCAAATACTAATGACTTAAACAACTGTTACTGACCTTTGGCTCAATATTCCTGACCAGTTTTCGCCAGATCCATCAAAAGGTTTCAGGGTTCTCATCTTGTGAAAGGAAATTAGCTACAAGTATTGAAATTAGTTCTAAAGCGATATTATGATTACGATAAGAGAATTTTTATTTGATTCATCTGGAAAATAAATTAATGTGCCGATTCTGTGATGTCGCGGGCGAGTTCATCATGCAAACTGAATTGTAAAGAAGACGACTATTATGAAATTTTAAATGTTAGTAAAAATGCTAGCGAACAGCAAATTAAAAATAGTTATCGAAAACTCGCACTGAAGTACCACCCCGATCGAAATCCCGGCGATCAGAAAGGTTTTTTTCTTCGCTTTTATTTTTTATGCCTCACTTATTTTTGTTCCTTTGAAGTCATTTTATTAAAAATTTGTTTTTTTGGGATTTTTTTCTTTCTAGGCTCATTTTATTTGTTTATTTTCTGTTATTTATGCTATTTTTCTTCATTTCTATTTTTCCCATCATTTTTCCATTTGTTTATTAATTTTGTTTTTTCGATTTCTATTTATTTCATAGCCGTTCCTATTTTTCTTTTCATTTTATATAATTTCTTTATCATTTCTAATGGCTCATTGCTGATTTGATGAGCTTCACTCGTGACTAAGATAAAACGTTCCAAATCTGCCGATTCGATGCCAGTCTTGGAAGCAGCTGGAACCACTCTTCCTTATACTACCTAAGTCGTATATCGCGGAGGCATTCGAAATCTCCCTTGGCCTTATCGTTCCAGATCTTGTTTGGTCATCTTTTTGAAATTATCCATCATTCATCACAGGATTTAGCGAACAGCGAGGTGCATTTAAGTCCTATAGTGAGTGACAAAACAGCCAAAAACATAGCCAAATCAATAATGATACTTACTCTTAACGCAGATGGTATTTGCTTGTAAAACTTTGTTCACTTGGCAGAGGGTATACACTGTTTTAGGGAAGAGTGATTAAAAGCAAATACCATCTGCGTTAAAAGAGTGATTAAAAGCAAATACCATCTGCGTTAAGAGTCACTTCTTACTTTCCACTAGCTAAGTCACAGCCGTATAACTGGATTGTACACAATAGAACTAGGTAAATGCGAAATTTTGCTTTGAAATTGATTTCCTGGCGATTCCAGAGAGATTTCGCCGGGCGAAAAAAGATATTCTAGTTACAATTTATTCTCTTGTCTAACGATTAGGTGTGAAAATGGGTCCGAGATATTTAAAATCTGACACTTCGACTGTTGGTAAATTTAAATAATTAATCGTGATCTTATCAGCATCAATATCTGGCATACAAGACGAAGCGAATCTCATTTTTATTGATTTGAAGACGAATTTTCGCTACTATCGGCAGTTTAGCAACTGTGGCAGTTCCTTGTATCTTTCAACAAAAATGATAATTTCAGCACGTTCAAGGTCCGTGGTAGCGGATTTATATACCTTCTGAATATCCATAACTCAGTCATCGTAAAACTCAGTCATTGAAATTTATAGGGAATATAACGCACAGTCGGTACGTATTTTGAAAGGCTATATTTCCCATATTCCCATACATATGCCCGTGCTGGTGCACGCGGATATAATATTTTGATAAGTATTTGAATAACTTCTTTAGAGCATCGTCGTGTTGCATGACTTGATAGCCACCATGTTGATCAAATTAAAAGCAGTGAAAAAATTGATGAAGCATATAACGGTAGGTCTTTGATAATATTCTTCTCAGTGCAATGTAAAAATTTAGCCAGAAAGGCCATATCCGATTTTATTAGAGCGTCCTGCTTCCACATACTGTCGAAAGTCTTTTGAATCTAGAGTGGAAGAGAGCCAAAAATCTTTCCAGAAATATCTAGCTAGCTAATTCCTCGATAGTTGCCCTATCATTTAAAGAATTCGGAGCAGAATTACCTTGCACACCAATGAGAATATAATTTTTGTAGTTATGAAAGACGCTAGGCAGCATTTGATGATTTCATCATGAATTATCTTCTCCAACGGTTTGAATTACAGAGAATATTTCATGCCCAACTGATTGTTTATCGTCTTACGATTCCAAATGTGTTTCAGTTATTCGCAATGTTGTATGATTGATCGCAGATAAATTTAGATTCAAAAACTCTCTCACTCTCTATGATCTTTTATAGTCTTAACGGGGTCATTTTTTTCGGATGATTTCACTGACCATTTCTTGAGCCTCGTTTGCCTTGCAAAGTAGGTAATTTTCGATCGTCCACTCGCCCTGTTTATATTCAAAGCCATATCGTTCCATTATCGATTTTTATTCAGTGTCGTTGCGATCTTCGCGAGTTTATTGAACTTCAGATAGCGCCCCGTGACACATGCATTTTGGCAGCGCGATCACAGAAGAATAAGCTAGACCGCCCTGAGGCTTAGCTTGTTTTCTTCTAAATCTTCCTGATTTAACTGGTTCCTGAAACTGACGAGCATTCGTCGACAGTTCCAGAAGTGTTGGTTTTATTAAAATTTTTTGGGTGCTCTAATACCTTTGTTTGAAAATACAAAATTGCAAATGTAAATTTTTTAATTTTTTAGTAGTCGAAAGATTTTTGAGGAAATTGTATTTTCCGCATTGTCAATTTCATTTGGATCTTGGCTATAACCATTCCTTAATGGCCATGTAAACAGTTCCATCTAAGTAAATATCTTCTGCAGTTTTTGAGAATGATGCTGTTAGCAATTTAAGCACAATGTAGGAATATAAGCACTGGTGACTTTCCATACGATTAGAGTACTTTTTCGGATGTAACCGCTGTACTCCCTGCGTTATCGGAACATTACTGATATAATTCTTATCTGAACCAGGTTTATTACAGGCGACGTTCACACAGTATTTGAATAGTATGTGAATCATTATCGCCAGGTCCTCATCTATAAGAGTTCTAGGCAACCGAAATCTCGTCAGAGTTAATATGATTATTGTCTGATTCCCTTTCTTTAAGTGGCTTAGAGAAGTTCCCTCAGTTCGAAGACAGCCGTTTTGCCCCATGTCTGATTCGCATATTTATCGCGTGTACCATCAGGTATACCATGCGCGTTGGAACATGTAGACGACTGTGATTTTGCCATTGACCCATTCACCACAGTTTTAGATATAAATGGGTCTCCAGCAGCCACTTAGATTTTAATAATAGACTTATTCCCGTCTAGGCAGATAATTAAGAAATTGTAAGGAGAGAATAAAGAAAAAAATTTTTATTTTATTTTTTCTTTAAATTGAATAAATTTAATTTATTCTCTTATAGTTCAATGAAATTCACTGCAGAACTTGGGTAATATTCCAAGAACTATCAGAACGAATTAATCAATACTAATATTAGAAATATAAAATTGAAATGGAGTCGCTTATTACTTATTCTCCTTTATATTATTTATTTAAAACCAAGTTTTTTTTCTCTCCGTTAGTAGATTTCCCATGGTCAGTCTTCTTCTTTTTCTTCTAATAGCCCTCACCATTCTGGTTAGGCTGGTCCCAACGTCTACAAGGGGACGCTTCCTAGCGGCGTGGTCTGATGTCATCGTCGATACTAATAGAAGCCATTCCCTTTTCCATCATCTAAATCCATATATTGCTGGTCCATCTATACATTCAAAATCTTTTCTGATCGTATCAGCTCAGATCTTGATTGGCTCACCTCGCTTTTGACGCTAACCATCACACGGTTTAGGAAGTAACGAAATATGCGTCAACTCTTATGGTGGACAACGGTGGAGAACCCTACCCTAACCAGCGAAAGCGTCGCTCTGTGATAACATTATTTATTCAAGTGGTATTTGAACGAAGGTGGATGCGATCATGAGATATCTTATCCACTCGGCGGATATTTACCTTAGACAAGAGTGGTCAAAGGCATAACTTCTTAACATCTTCCACTCTCATTGGTCATATCTCAGAGCCACATAGATCGAACGGATCACGGCTATATAGATGCGGACCTTCGTTTTTATGGTGATTTCACGACGACTCCATAAAGATTTCGTCAACGGGAAGAACGCATTTCTAGCTGCCGTAATTCGAGTATAATATCATCTTTTGCCTGTCCATTTGGTATTAAAGTGGACCCAATATATCGTACTTCCTCAACCGGCAATGATCAATCTATAGAAAATTATCCATAGTAATTTTTATTCTATAAATTTTTCTGTCTAAATGGAACTACCAGAAATAGAAGAATTTAGAAATTTTAATTTTTTGTTGTTTTCTTCCATGAACATTTCTATTTGTTTCCTTTTTTACCACTTTTTTTTGAATTTCAGCAGCAGAACATTTCAAAAAAATATCAATTGCTTATGCAGTACTTTCTGATCCTAATAAGCGCCGGCAATACGATCTTAATGGACCATCGGGTGCAATCATTGATTTTGAAGGATTTGATATTAGTGAAATTGGCAGTGTTGGTATGATTTTTTAATTTATGAATTCAATTTTAATTGTTAATGAATATTAGCGAATTAATTTTAGGACGCGTATTTGGCGCATTATTTTCAAAAATCGGTGTACCAATTCCGACACAAATCGGTCCGAAAGTTTTAACTCAAGCTCGAAGCCTTTGTGAGGGAACACCAACTGATGCAAAATATTCTGTTTTGCAGGAAGGTGTTCAATATGATGGTTCAGTCGCAAAACAGGTGAATTTAATGCTTTTAAACATAAGGTTTTATCCTTATTGATTTTATATTCCTCTCATTATAAATTGTACCACAATTCTACTTTTTTCTCACTTTAGCTGCTTTTATATTTTAAATTTTTTTCAAGTACTTCCGTATTGTGAAATTTTTTTAAAATGGTATTAATTTCCTTCTTTTAATCTAAAATTGCTTTAGGAAGCTGCTTTTTTCAAGATAACTATGCGTGAAGAATGGCAGAAAAATGGACTTATGATAATGTGTAAATCGCCACAAATGAGTAAATTTAAACTAGTTTTGTTCGATAAAGAAGGCGGAGTTCGAATGATACAAGTATAATACGTTTTTATAAGAATTTATCAGAACTTTATCATTCTTCTTTCCATATATCTAAAGTATATAAAACAGTTTAATTTTTTCTCATCAAATAAATCTTGTTGATTTCTTGTTTTATTTATTTTTATGTGCAATTTTTTATATTTAATCAGGAAAGTAATAAAAGAAAAGGATGCACAGCTGCAGCAATATATTTCGTGCCATTCGATCGTGCAAATTTGAGTGAATTCATTCCTATGAAGTTTTATATGGAGGATAAAGATACACCATTGTCGTTCCACTTATTAGATACCCTAGAAACTGTTGGAGCCCAACAACTTGATGCAAGGGATCATTTTTTATGTGTTTATGGTGATAACTGGATTAAGGACGTTCGATTTCAATTGCGATTTCTTCCATTAAATGATTCCTTGTCTTCAAAGAACATTGTTAGTCGCTCTGCTTATTTTTCTTAAAATTTGTAAAATAAAGATATAAAAATCATTAAAAAAATTCGTACACTGCATATATTATTTATTATTTTGATCATTTTTTAAATTTTCCAGTCTATTATATTTATTCATATTTTATATTTTTATTCACGAATATTTTGTACTAATGGCGCGTTTCGATTTCTCATTAATTTTAATGTAGATTCAAGATTTAACTGAGGTCGAGCGATCTTTATTACTTGCAAAGAAAGAAATGGCACAGTTTCAAATAGAATATACTGAAGCCATAAGAAAATATAAAGAAGTCAATGAAAGACTGAAAACAGAAACTGAAACCATCAATGGTTTATTGAAGGTTTATTTTTTAAGAATTTTTGCATTTTAGGTTATAAAAAAACCAAAAATTAAAAAATTCAGCGTTAATTTTCAATTTTATTCATATAATTCATGAAACTACTACTGTTAAATAAATACATATTTTTAAAAAAATACATTTTATAGAAGCGAGATCAAGATTATGATGAATTAGAGCGTGAAAGTGCTTCCGTATTTGTTAATCAACGGTCACCGCAAAACCAAAGCAAAGGATTTCTATCTAACTGGTTTTAACACTGTTTTTTCTTTTATTTTTATCTTATAATATTTTTTTTTGCCTATGCTATTTTGAATACCTGCGAATTTCTAAAATCATGGGATAGTCTGTGAATGAATAAATAAACTTTACTTTTTGAAGATTTGGTATTTATATTTGATCTGGTTATGATATGGTCACGTTCTTTAAACATGGAGAATTGTTTTATATGTTATGTGAAATGTTTCATAGTTTATAGGTTGCTGGACGATTTTTATATTTCATTTTCAATTTTTTTTCATAAATTTACCTCTTTTTACTTTCTATTTATTTTATGCTATTCAAATTTTCACAATTTTTTTAGACCGATGAGAATTTGACGCTTATTCCCGAGCTTTTTATATAATATTTATTTTTTCTAACAGCTCGCATCATTACTAGTTGGTTACAATGGCCACAAAGGTGAGGTGGCAAGGAATTTTTGTAGTCGGCGCACTATCATGATAGAATCGAAACTGTGGCGATATTCGAATGAAAATCGCATTCATTAAGGTTATGACTATATGGGAAATATGAAATATAGGAGGATGTCATAGATTTTATTGTCGTTTTCGAACTAAAGTTCATATATATATATATATATATAGTAATGTTAAAATATAGAAATATTTTTGCGAAAACTATTATTCAAATTATTGAAATCTTTAAAATCTTTGATACTTCCCATATCATCTACCAGATCGCAATTTTTCGATTTTTTCCATTGTGATAATTTTTATAATAATAAATTATTGTATAAAGCGTTCACGAAACGACGACGGAAATAATATAATCAAAAGTTTATTTCATGAACATTATTGAATAAAATGCTTAGTTTTTCTAGTAGCTGCATCGCTGGTTTGGTTTGTTCACTGGCGACGAGGATGGGGCTTTTCCAGGCCTCCCCACCTAATGCCAAACCTGTAAACAACTGATACCACTCCTTCCACCTCCTAAGCCCATACATTGCTGGGCCTACTATTCAAGATCTCTCTTGACTATATCATTCCAGATCTTGATTTGTCCTCTTTCTTCATCCATCACTGAATTTAGTAAATAACGATGTAAGTTCCTGTAATGAACGACGAAGAACATGACCAAACCAGCGCTTTGTGACGATATTCTTAATGCAAATGTTGAGCGAAGGGTCGATATATTCATGTATATTTTGTCTACTTGGTGGAAGATGTCCACTATCTTAGGGTCAGAGACAAATGGTTTCCACTCTTCCAATCTCATTGGCCTAGTCCTAGCCATGTAGTTGGATTGTAATACAACCAAGTAGATGCGGACTCTTCTGTTTCGAGATTGATTTCGCGGCGATTCGAGATAGGTTTCGTCAGATGAAAGAAGGCATCTCTGGCTGTAGATATCCCAATTGTACTTTCATCTGTTGCGTGGTCCTTAAGTATAAAAATGGATGCTCCTATCACTATCAACATCTCGCATATAAGGCGAAGAGTTTCGACTCATTTGCATTGATTTGAAGGCCAAATTTGATTGCTGTTGATGGTCTGGCATCTTTTGCATTCTACCAGTGTATTTAAGGTCCATGATATGATTTGACTGGTATATTCACCTTATAAATGTTGGTAACCTAAACTATCGCAAAGTTGAAAACTATATGGGATGGAACCCAACCTTATGCATATCTGTTTCCATTTCAAAAATTTGAATCATTTCCACACATACACACATACATATATCTACTACGGTGATATAAATGAATAATATGCTTTGATAATAGGATAGGTCCAATCAACTTTGGAACCGTTGTTCTATATAGCTTGCCAGAGTGTGGTCCTAATCGAATCAAAAGTAGTGGAAAGTATTAGTTGATAAAGCACGCAGCAGTATATTGATATTTTTGATATTGATATATCGATATCTATTAATATTGAGTATATTAATATTTAAAACGATGCTCCAAAACCCATTTCAGCGTGAAAATTTCGCAGCTATGTCCTGGCCTGGTACGGCCTGGTTAGATTCAGCAAAAGAGAGGCAAAAACCTTGCAGCATTTGATCAGTTCTTAATCCCCGGTTGCCTCGAGAATTAGGTGGAGGAATTCTCGATGATCGCGGGCTTGAGCTGCCATTTCCATAATCTATTCCATCATCGATTTTTGTCTAACTGCGATCATCTACGAGTCTACTGAGTTGCCGATCGCTACCATTTTCGGTCACGCACACTCTGGCAGCGCGATCGGACAACTGAACTGTTTCGTATGAGACCCAGTTTACAAGTTGTATATTCGAATCGCATTCTTATGGCTGATTTAGACTCCAGCTGGAAACAGGTAGTTCTCTGCAGTTCCAGTTGTCCCAGTGTTATTAAGGGTCTTTTTATTAAGGTCTTTTAATACTCCAGTTCGAAATATACTGATACTGCCTCTTTAAAATGAGATAAGATTTTGAAGGACGCTGTGCTTTCAGTGTTATCAGTCATTCAGATCTAATTATGAGAGTTCCCAGTTTTAATTGACAATATTTACTATCTATTTACTTTATTTACTATCTACTTATATCTACTACTACTATATATTTACTATCTATTTGCAAATCCATTGGCAAATAATCAGTCTGATTTGAGTGTTGATTGAATTCTACATAGCTAGAACTCTTCTGCAATGCCGATGAGGTGGTGATAAAAGGCTCGTATTTCTCTCCAATAGCGGCATGTTTCACGCCTTATTTGCCAGCCCTTGAAGATAGTGGGACAGTCCTATACGCGTTTCGAATTTCACCCAATTTTAGCGATCGCGTTTATATCGTTTTTTTTGGCAGATTGAACTTGAACTTCGAGTTTCTGTGCTAAGGATGGCAAACCATTGCGAAGCCCAAAGAATCACGATTAATAAATAGCCTTTCGAATTTCCCTAAAAACCAGAAAAGTCCACTTAATAAACTTTTCACATATGGTGGTATTCATGACGCGTCCTAACAATGCTTTAACAAAACTAAAGTTAATAATGGTATTGAATAAATTTTTATTAATAAAAATTTATTGTTCAGTAATATAAATGCTTCATGATTTTATGAATGATTTGTATTTTGTTTTTTGCTTTATGCATCATCTACGACAATTCCAGAAATTTCGCCATGTGATCGCTTATGTCAATAAAGCAGAAAAGAATGGGCAGAATAGCGAAATTTAAAAAGCAAAACTATATATGTCAGTTCGTAAATATCTATGAAACGTCAACAAAAATATAATACGAAAAAAATATAAAAAAATATTATCGCGGAAACAGTCGAATTTCGTTACTTGTTAAACCGTGATGTCAAAAGCGAGGAGGGCCAATCAAGACTTGGGCTGATACAGTCAGGAAAGTTTTGAACATATAAGAGGACCAGTAATATATGGACTTAGACGATGGAAAAAGGGATGGTTTCTATTACTATTTCTATTACTATTAGCGATGGCGTCGGAACGAGTAGCTTGGAGACCCTTGCAGCCAGCGCAGTCAGCTTAATCAGTAACGGCGAGAGCTATTAAAAGATCGCGGAAACAGTGTTCTTTGTTTGGATCTGCAAATAAAAAGAATTGACTTTGCGGTAGATCAGAAAACTTCTTAATAACCAAAAAAATGGTAAAAATTTGCGGGGTAGAGGAATGGTGGAAGTAAATTGCTAAATCACCAGTGATTTCATTCGCTCAAACTTAATTTCCATTAGTTTGGACGGCTACTTCCAGCTGCTAGAATTAGCTGCTAGAATTGTTTAACTTATGTGGTAACACATAATATAGCACATATATAGAAAATAATCTCAAAGCCAATATTCTATCTACAAAGGCGATAAGGAATTGAAGTTCAAAAAACCATGTCATTGTCGGGACAAAAAGGTTGTTTTGCAGTTGTTGTTGCGATGAGTCGGAAGGGAAATTATTACTTACCGTTGAATTAGCAAACAATGTAATACAACACAATAATACTATAATAATAATTGGGTTGAGGAGACGAGCGTTAAGGACGAAGAATGTCGCGTTGAGGTCCAGTGGTGGAGAGAAATCGTTGCCGTTGAGGTCCGATGGTGGAGATGGTGTTGTTGCTTGCGCAGCTTCTTCCGAACGTATTCTAAGAGCCCTATGTTCAAGAAGAGTTTTTTTTATAATAAATTCTTTCGGTTTTTTCCGACAGTCTAAATTATTTAGTGTTAGACGAATATTATTACTAGTTCAAATAGAACAAGTTGAGGAAGCTGGGTGTTTTATCGTGCAAATTAATGAGGTATCAAGATGAAGCAAGCAGCACCTTAGAACGCACAACACTGCTCCATTTGAGGCGTTAGGGCTATTTGTATGAGTGAAGGCTTATTATTTGATGAGGTGTTTGGTTGCCATATGTTAAGTCCTTTCTAAAATAGTCCTCTTGATAAATAAAAGAATACTGGATTTGGGAATAAAAAATCTATAAAGCGATTTATTTTAAGCTAATAACTGCATAAACTAGCCTATTATAAAAGGTTATCAAAAGGGATATTAAAAAGGGAAAACTGCAAAATTAGATTAATTTTTCCAAAGCAAATAGCAAGACTAGGTTAACATTCCACAATTTATAACACAATTATATTTGAATATAACACAGTTGTTTATAAAGCTTAAGAGGATATTACTGAGCATTTTACTCTTTTAATGGTACATACGGACAGTTTGGCTGGTTTCACTAGTTAGTAGAATTCGAAACATTCGAAATTAGACGAGGCAGACAAGGCAAATTTAGCCAATATTTTCTTTTTTAGAGCTCGCACCATTACTGGTTAGACCCGCTCCACTGGCTTGTCGCATTAGACGAAAATATCAGGGAGTACCCTGGCGACAGAAGTACCAGTGAATCGCCAGCATCACCCGAGCAAACAGTTATTAACGGAAACTTATTCATGGAAAAAAATAAATCGAAAACGCTTTTTTTGTTGCTTTTTGTCGTATGAATAAATAATGGTATCGAATAACCAGCAAAGGTTCCAAAGTTCTCTATTTATATATAGAATAGTTTTTGGAATTCCACCTTGCACGGTTTTCGACGAAACATGTCGGAAGCGGAATCCTCGATCGGTTATTCAGTCGGCTATCGTGTCGCCGCTTCGTTCGCACCATCTATCAACGAATCATAATGTCCCTTTTCTACCGGTTGTATAGGTCATTCTCAATAAACATTTTATTGCTTTTTTGGAAATAAAGAGTGATTAATTTAGCCAAAGAAAATATTCACTCGAACATTTTTCCTTCATATCAAATATATAAATTGCGAATTTACAACATTTAAATTTTCACGTTTAAACAAAAAAGCCAAAAATTTAATTGATCAAAGTTTCTAAATCCTGAAAAACCTAAAGAGAAGATACGAAATCAAAAAAAATATTAGTGTACGAAGAAGGAATATATTAATTAAAAGGAATATGAAAGGACTGTGAACAGGAATATAAAAGGAATGTGGAATATGAAGGAATATGAGTGTGCAGGTAGGGAGTGATTCCATGTGGAGATTATGTGTTAGAGGTGGATGGATGAATTCCGTTCCATGTCGCTACTCCTCGGTAGCATAAAGATCTTTTTTCCTTCTCTTCCTCTTTTCCACAACCTCTTTCAATTTGACCCTCTTCAATCGTTGGAATTTTTAATATTTGCCTTTGTCCTTATTTTAATTAAGTGGAGGTCATCTGTGCGAGAAATTTTTTCCCCTTTTATTAATATGTATGCACTATCCCTGGTTCGGTCGGCTCCATCGGCCACAACAATGGAACCGCTTCGTTGGGCTTTAATAGGCAGAAATGATGTCGGACCCTCCTGGACCCGAATGTTTCGATAAGATGGCGGTGATGCCACATTGCATCACCGACATTTGTATTTGGGTTGGGTTTTCGCTAGTGGGTTGGTTCATATCGCTTCCCAACCAATCATTCTACAACACCTCAGCGATAAATTCCCGCAAAGTTTTCATTGTCGATCGGTTATTTTTGTGGGGTTGTCGATTTGTTTTTATATTTTTCTTGTTTTCTGGCTTATCAAATCGATAATTTTAGATTTTAAATTGCCAAGAAATTCTTCGAAAAAAATGACTCATTTAATCTCTTCGAATAAAAACAATTCGCCAGCACATCGAACGATTTACATTTTATCAACAAAAGCAACAGCAAACGGCTTAACATTTCTTCCACGAGGAGTAACAACGGCGACGACGACGGCGACGACAATCGCGAACGATTTTATTCGACGCGAGGCGAAGGCGATAGGTTATCAGTTTCATCGAATTTATGCCCTTCCACGCACGTGCAGTTTGTAGCTTTGTTGTCGTGTCGAGAGGCGTGGTCGTGCTCCTCCCCTCCTCCCTTCCCGTCCTCGGGGAAAAACCTTCAGCCTAAAATCCGGGCAGTGCCAGCGGCTTCCATTAACGTAACCCTTAGCATGGTGAGCACTGACCACTTGTTTACCTGCTTCTTACCTTATTTATTTCAGCTGAAAGTTTATTTCACAACTTCGTCGAGTGCTCCCTCATCCATTTCACCGCTTTAGCTTTAGGCTTTCTATTACTGTTGTTCGAGGGATAAGATAAGTCTTTGCGTCGCTTAGAATAGAACTGCGTGGATTAATCAATTTTTAATGATCCTTTCGTTCCCTTGTTCGTTTCGTGTTTTAGAAAAGGCTAATCATAGGTGCCGCGGAATTTGAAGGGGTAATTAAAAGCATTCGCGTGTTTAAAATCGGTGTTTTTATTTATTGTGTTTTTATTTGAAGTGGGGAGGGTTCTAGAATGCACCGTAAATCCCATATTTTTCCATTTATTTCGTATCAAAGTGGTTTTAAAAATCTTTTGTCCTTTTTTATGTGCATTTAATGGATGACAATGACTTACATTTCCGAATGATTTTCTAAATTTTATTTTAATTTTTGTTTTTTTTTAGATTTATCTTCGAATTACCCCTTTTACAATACTCACTTTAGCACTCCTCACTCGTTGCATTGCTTTAACACTTCGTCGAACTAGGTTTGCCTACTTATTCCCCTGTTTAATCTCCGCTGAATTCCATTAATCCCATTCACCTTTATTTAATAATATTTTAAAAAGTAAAATGGAAATTTTTAATGAAATCTTCCAAGCGAGAAAACTGGGTTTGCTTTATTATTTATTAGCATTTCCTTTTTGCTTCTATGGAACCACCACTACGCTTTCTTATACTTCGTCATCCCTTTCACTTGTGTTGTTCACTCTTTTCTTCATTAATTGCATAAATCGTCTAAGAAAAACCAAACTGCAGCTTTCTAGACGATGGATCTAGCTTGCAATCCATCTTCTGCATTGAATTTTTTCTGCATCTTTAAGACGGTCTATTTTGCTGTTGATATTCTGTAAAAATATTTTTAGGTGAAGTAGAGAAACTTATTGGAAATAAATCGACTTCCACAGCTACGATACGGCGGCGTGAACGTTTAACACATTTAACTGCTGAGGAGAAACAAAATCGACGAAAGTTAAAAAATCGGGTTGCGGCACAAACAGCTCGAGATCGTAAAAAAGAACGGACGTTTAAACTCGAACAAGCTTTGCGTTTACTTTGCGCCGAAAACAAATCACTTCGTGAAGAAAATCAGTCGATAAAAGTAAAATTATTGGAAGCTGAAAAACGAAATGGAAAATTGGAAGAAAAATTAAAACGAATCGAGAATGAGCGAAAAAATGAAATGAAGTCAGTGGATTATATTTCAGGTGCATTCTCCGTTGAATCAGCAGAATTCATTAATGAACCCCAGCAGCGGGCACAGGTAATGCTACCTCAGGTACTAATTCCACTTCTAATAATGTTAATAGCATTGATCTACAAGGCATCTTGGACGAACTATTTGAATCAGATCTTGAACTTAACGAATTCTGTAAACAAATTCTCGACGAAAAAAGTCAGTCCATTCAAAATTCATCATCATCACCAAAATCATCGTTTGAAATTTCGAATGAATATGATTATGCAAAAGTTATTAGCTCGTACGAAATGGAAATGTCGAAAACTGTTAACACCAGTCGAGCAGATAGCCCTTCCTTACATCTTCACCTAGCACCAGAATACCTCCAGTCCAATCCAGAAACCTATCTTGATCAAAATTCAATTATTTCCCATCATCATTCACTCTCTTCTTTTATATCACCAACATTGTCGTCAACTTCCTATGATTCCATGGTGAAAAATAGTTTTGCAACAATCTCATCACCGTGTCAAGTGGTTCCATCGTATAATTTAAATATTAATGGTGATATTAATGATGCTTATGAGTCGGGTGCAATTATCGGTGAAGATGCTTCACTTTCTTGTTATTCTCCTGGTTATAATATTGGTGATGGTTTCGATACTTTTATGTATGATGGTTTATCTAACTAATTCAAGTTCTTTTTTTAATTAATATTTCTTTAATAAAAGTTTAATAAAAGTTGTTTTAAAATTTATTTTCATCCTTTTTTTTGTATTTTGTTATTTCGTGGATTTTTACGAGTTCCTGTTTTTTCATTATTTATCTACTGATTGTATTTCCATTTGCTGTCAAGACAAAACTTTAAAATTTTTTTAAGCCATTTCGGATTTCTAATTTATTTTTCAAGCAATTGTGTATTATATTATATAGAATATATATATATTGGTTTATTTCGTTTTTTATTTTTATCCATTACGAAGTTTTAAGAAAAATCATTTGCAAATGCTACTTTGTGGAAAGTCCTCGCGAAATGAAGTTGACGGAAAGGTTCAGCAGCTTATGTTTAGATCGTACGAATTGCAGATAGGAGCATCGTGCAATTTTTTTTTGTCTGTCGAATAAAATATTTATTTGGTCAAATGCACTTATATGTGTATGTATAATAAAATATATAGTTTCATAGAGTAATTGAGCGTTGTATACTCTTGGCTGTACTGTATAATCTGCAAAGGTTCGGCGGAAAAATATAAAAGTAGTTATGAAGTAAAGTGGCTACAAGTTGTGGTGGAAAACGTTCGTAGCACAGGAAGAAAAGGGAAGGACGAAACGAACTTGCTCCGGAAGCGTTGTTTTTTCGATGGGGGAGAGGGGGTGAGGAGGGCTTGCGGAGTTCCGCGTTTCAGGTAATTTGACATTTTGGTTTGTTTCGAATGCTTTAGTGTACTTGCGAACTTGGTTCAGCAAAATCTGTAACCTTCCAGAGACTGCATTTCATGGCTTTTTGTTCTTAAATAGATTTGAATGTAGAAAGAAACAAGTGTGTGTCGCGTCAATATAAGATGCGGAACAGGGTGTATGTTGTAATAAATGTGGTAATTAGCGAAGTGCCCGCTTGTTTTCGAGAGCAAAGAGGACTGCTTTTGAAAACTGCCGTTTAGTGTCGAAATACAAAGGCGGTGGTAAGATAACGAGCGATTAGGTGGTCAGGTAAGATCGAACGAGAAACGAGAATAACAAATAGTGAACGCTAAGTTTTCAGAAATATCGCTGAAGTATGGAAGCCTCGTTTTAGTTTTTCAACCGCGGGTGCACATAGCAGATCCTTGGCAAATTTGTTCCAATGATGCGTTTTAGCGAACAAAAATTTTAGCTGAGTTGTCCGAACAAATGAGCGTTTCAGCAATTTCAATTCGTTAAATCTGCCAATATCAAAAGCGAAGTTATTCAGTACAAATAGCAATTTTGTAAGAATTTGTAGGTGAATACCTTATTAGATCTTCTAAAATGATTTCTGTTAAGCAGTGGTTCTAAACTGAGTGGCTTAGGTTTTAAATGGCAGTGGAGTCGTCTGGAGATAACCTTTTTAAGAGGTAGTTAATTCAGTTAAAACTAAATTCAGTTAGTTCCTTATATCGATTTCCAGTTTTAAAGGATCTGACGTCTGCTATTACTTCTAATTTGAAATATTCTCAACACTTGTTAGAGGAATTTACAGCGATGCAAGGACTTTTGTATTCAATTATTTTAAAATTTAAATCGACAGAGTTATATGGCAGAGTCATTAAAATACGTCGTTTTCAAAAACTTCATGGTGAATTTTTAAAACGACAAGTAAATGGCATGATCACAAAAATATTCAGAGAAGAAAAGGGTCAATTTAGAAGAGAAAATTTGCCAAGATTTTTGTTAAGAAAATTACTGGTACGAAAGATGAATCGGTATTCCTGCGGTGCCAACGACGATGGTGCAGATGGTCTAAATCATGGATTCACTTCATATCTGAAATAGTCAACGTCAAATGTACTCGTTGTGCGTGTACTCAAGCGATTCATGCATAACTTTGGGTTGCAAGAAATCGTCTGTATCGCTTCTAGCAACTGATAAAATCAAAAGCAATGTTAGAAATGATAGATAATTTTGCATAGAAAACGACGAAGGTTACAACCAGTTCATACAGAAGTACACGGCTATTAAAATATGCCTACTTAAATAGATTTTGTGATATCTCTAATTTAGTTGTAGAGTTTTTTGGAAGAAGAATGAATCGTTGCAGAATTTATTGATGTTCCAGAACGATATAACTCATTTGACAAATTTGTATGGCAAAATGAATGAAATAAATCTAAAGTTGCAAGAAAACTCAGTTTGAACATAACTATTATTTTTGTGATATTTGAACGAAGACTCGGCGAACATAAAATGTACCTTAGATAAGTGTCAAAGGCAGATTAGTTTCTTAGGGATATTTCCTTCATTCTCAGTCATGTCTCGTATATTAAAAAAATCCAGGTGATGCTAGTGAATATTTATAAGAGCAATATTTCTATCATTAAGAGATTCCAGCAATATGACAAGATCAAGCGAATTGCAGCTATATGGACGCGGACTTTCATTTTTGTGGTGATTTCCTAAAGACTCCATAAAGGTTTCGCCAACCTTCTTCTTCTCCTAACAGATCTCACCATTACTGGTTAGGCTGGTCCCAACGTCTACAAGGGGACGCTTCCTAGCGGCGTGGTCTGATGTCATCGTCGATACTAATAGAAGCCATTCCCTTTTCCATCATCTAAATCCATATATTGCTGGTCCATCTATACATTCAAAATCTTTTCTGATCGTATCAGCTCATATCTTGATTGGCTCACCTCGCTTTTGACGCTAACCATCACACGGTTTAGGAAGTAACGAAATATGCGTCAACTCTTATGGTGGACAACGGTGGAGAACCCTACCCTAACCAGCGAAGGCGGCGCTCTGTGATAACATTATTAGTGCAAGTGGTATTTGAACGAAGGCGGATGCGATTAAAGTGATATTTTATCCGCTCGACGAATCCGTAAAATCTACCTTAGACAAAAGTGGAGATAACTTCTTAACATTTTCCACTCTCATTGACCATGTCTCAGAGCCATATAATAAGAATTAACGGATCACGACAATATAGATGCGGACTTTCGTTTTTATAGTGATTTTACGAAGATTCCATAAAGATTTCGTCAACCGGAAGAACGCATTTCTAGCTGCCGTGATCGGAGCTATAATATCATCTTTTGTCTGTCATTTGGTATTAGAGTGGACCCAAGGTATTTGAAATCAGGCACTTCCTCAACCGGCAATGAATTTACAAAAAGAGGCATTTTATCAGCTTGCACATAAGACGAAAAGACTTTCGTTTTATTTACATTGATCCTGAGTCCGATTCTTGCTGCAGTTTCTAACACGTTATTTATTACTTGCATTTCGTTATAACTGTCAGCAAAAAGACTACATTATCAGCGTATTCGAGATCTGTGATACGATGCTCTGGATTATTTCGGACACCTCTTGAGTGCCGACAAGCAGTGTCCATTATCCAGTCTATCGCATAGTTGAATACTGTGCGGGAAAGGACGCAGCCCTGACGGACACCTGTTCTTATTTCGAAGGAATCTGTCAGCTCCCCATATATACAATCCTGCGCCGACGAGCGCTCATAAAATGCCTTTATGAGTCTAATGATTTACTCTGGAACACCGTCGCGCTCCATCATCCTCAGGGCGCCGTTCTATCTATTTACTCAAATGCAGTCGCAAAGTCGATGAAACACGTGACAGTGGGTTGCAAATATTTAAAGCGATGTTCCAACACCCTTCTTAACGTGAATATCTGGTCAGCACAACCGCGCCCTGGTCTGAAACCAGCTTGATTAGGGCGCATCCTGCTGTCCCGTACTTCCATAAGTCTGTTGAGTAACAGGGAAGCAAAAATTTTCGCTGAGACATCTAGTAGGCTGATAATTGTCACAGTATGTCCTATCACCTTTGAGAATTCAGAGCAGAATTGCTTTGCACCAATCATCTGGTAATATTTTTTCCATATTAGAGAGTACATTTTTTGAAGGTGCGTTATGAAGGACAATGGACAGCTTTTAGTTTTGAAAAGCTCAGCCCGAAGACCATCTTCTCCTGGAGTTTTCTTGGCCTTAAGCCTATGGATAACTGAAATTATTTCTTCTTCTGTTGGAGGCTCGCAATTGCAAACGTATGCTTCAGCAAACGTATCAGCTATATTAGGGGCAACAGATGGCGTTTCATGGTTAAGTTTGGCCCAAAGAATTCTTTCCATCTTATGAGGCGATCCTTAATACTTTTAATTAGTACGCCATTGCTGTCTCTTACCATTTTACTGATCGTTCCCCGAGTCCTAGTTGCTTTATGAAGAAGGCAGAATAGTTTCCTATTGTCACCTAATCGAGCCGCCATTATTAAGGCCATGTCACTCCAATAGAGATTTCTGTCCCGTCGCGCCTTGCTGCTTTCGTTGCAAATCTTCGAAGCGCCCGGTAGTCAGGAGCCCGACATTCGTGCTTTGGCAGCTTTTTCTGACAACTGGACAGTTGCTTCCGATGCCCAACTAGCGCACTTCCTACTAGTATGGCCTAGCGTGGAAGTGGCTGATTTTCGGCGACATTCCTTTAGTTTGCACCAATATTCATTTGCCGTTCCAGAAAAGTCATTGATATTTGTCATTGATACAAGCAAGCGATATCCACACGATACTTAGACAGGATGTTTACAGTGATCGCTTGGCTTGCAACGTCAATTAGCGTTCTAACATTTCACGCTGATACGGCTAACTTCGCCGCGCATGTAGAAGGCTGTTCCCCTTCT